ATACACACTTTGGGACAGATCCAACTTCCATTAAAGTTAGGGGGAAAAGGGTCCCATCTATTTCAATAGGGGGGGGGGCTTCAGGACAGTCATCTACAACATATTATTACTACTAAAAATCACATATATTGCACAGTCAAATTACATTAAACGTAAAACAGAACAAAATGAAAACAAGACAAAACAAGAAAAAAATACCCACTTCCTCACCCCCGTCCACACTCCATATTTATTTAACTAGATTCTGACATGTTCATCTGACCCATTTTCAACAAACATGACTGTGTTGCATACTACAGCATTTCCTCCAGCCTAATGGTACATCAGCTATGTTTGCTGCATCCTCTTGCTTTTGTATTTCACTTGCCTTCTAGGCAACTGAAACAGCAACAATTGTACACAAATCAATCTGAGGTGGTATATGGGAAAAAAAGGGTGGCTACATATGAGAAGGTAGTCATATCTTTATGTTGACAAAATGAACAACAGAGGCAAGACTTGAAGCCAGTTCTAACCAAAGTTGGAATACTATTTATAGCTGTCTGGACTGAGTTACTGGCTGAGAAATCTTTGGATGATCAGACATACTTGAACTTCTCCACATGGAGTTAGTGCCATATGACCCATATGGACAAGAGAATTCTTAGCAGTCTGGAGGTTGGCCCACAGCACTGATCACCACACTCTGGTGGAATATTTGGAGTGGGAAAGTCCAGCATCAATGCAATTGTTTTTAGATTTACAGTATACAATAAGGCCTGTTGACTACATGATCACCATTGCTAAAGTACTGGAGAAGTCTATGGTTTTTGTTTCCGCTCTACTGTTTATTTGCAGTTCCAGAGGTGATAAAATGAAAGCATTTAAGAAGAGCCTCTCTCACTTTGCCTCTCTAAGTCCCAAGAGCTGACAAGGCTTTTAAAGTATCTTTTTATTTCTTTATTCCATTATTCAATTCCCCTAGGTAGACTGATTCTTATGGAGTTTAATCTTCAACCTCTTGCAATATAAAACCAAACAGAGAATCAGAAGCACTGCTGAGTCAAAGATATTAATAATACATAAAAAAGGTAGATGGGCAGCTCTATATTTCTGTATGTGACTGGCAGACACACTGTTTTGAAAGGAACCTGCAAAGTCAGAATATGCATAAATGACTTCACATAAGGTGAAGAGAGAGAGAAACATTCTTTTTAAATGGCTAGACTATTGTTGACGGACATGAATTTATAGACATATTAGTCATAGTGCAAAAGTGATAAACACATTATTATAAAATCCCAGATGGCATTTCCCTGGCAAAAAAAAATACGCTGTACCCAGGCCATTCCACCTCTGACTTTAGTACAAAGCACATCTTTTGTTAAATTAGGTTCTTTAATAAACTTTATTACATCATCATATTACCATATTTTCAGTGATCACACTGTAGCCTCTATAAACTCTGAAATAGCATTTCTTGTGAGGCTGGTACAAATGAAGACACCAGTTAATGTGTTTCCATTACAAAAAATGGTGTATAAACTCCTCTTGTAACTTTAAAACTATGTCTCCATGGTGAGGAATTGCAGAGTAGCTTGAAAAAGAGCTCAGTGGCTTGGGAGAAATGATCATCATCCCAACTGGAGTATGCAGCACACAAGTTTCTTCAACCCCAAGATGGGAATAATGGGCTATTTCAGAAGTTTTTTTAAGTGTAGGGTGGAGATCCAGAGAGATAGGGAAATGAACTGTCTACCCTCAGTGTAAGGTGTTCTCAGTGGCATCATGTACGCCTCACTATTTTCAGAGTGGGGAAGAGGAATCTCTGGGCCACGGAGACTTTCTAACTAACATTTAGCCAGACAACCCAGAAACAACTCACCCTTTCTACCTTAAGGACATGGGAGGGAGGATCATTTGCATTCATTCCCATTACCCCAACTGCTATTTACAATGATCAGTCTGGGTGGACATTTTTACTCCTGTGAATGGAGCAGTCTCAAATGGCTGGGAAATGCCTGAACTAGTACAGTGGTTAGGGTGACCAGATGTCCCGATTTTATAGGGACAGTCCCGATATTTGGGGCTTTTTCTTACATAGGTGCTAATTACCCCCCACCCCCATCCTGATTTTTCACACTTACTATCTGGTCACCCAACAGAAGCATATAACTTCTCCTGGGAGATGGGTACTTCCCCCTTTGAACCAGTATCAGTCCAGCTCCTTGACAGCTTGGGGCTAAGTAATTTGGGCTAAATAAGTATGATATCCCCAAAAAACAAATTCAAAGCAAGGAAATGCCAAGTTGTAGGAAATGCCATTCCTTAATGCTCACACAGTGTATTTCAACTGACAGTGACAGACATGCAATTTCACAAGGAGCTCCCTTCTGCCTCCAAACAGGCAAGTTACATATTAATTTCCTTCACAGAGTAACAAAAAACTCTGTAATTACAACCTCAGTGACATAAGCAAATATTCACTGCTAACATATGTACGCAGGTAAAGTATGCAGTTTGTGTTATGTGTTTGTGAGGAGGTCATAATTTGTGTGCTTATCCTTGTGTGGCTGTGCAATGAAACCTATTTTAGTAGACCATGGGGAGAGAGCAACACTTATTTGAACATCCTGTCTCTCATGCTCCAGAGACACAGGACTTGCCTGACCTCACTCCAGATGAGCAAAGGTAACACACCTTCTTGAAAACTTTAAGAGCAGTTTAACCCAGCAAGTACAAAACAGATATATGGAAAACTGGGGTTTGTATGAAACTCTAAAGAGAGACTGTGGATACAGATTAGACACTGCAAATTAAAGCTGCAGCACCCCCTAGCTTGAAGTGGATTTCATTATAGACAGGGTTTACGGATTGGTTCAATGGCTCCCAGCACCCCCACTATACAAATTGTTCCAGCAGGCTGGTGATGACTGTCTTCCACAACAACAAAATATCCATTTTCAAAAGCAGCCCTATCATACTGAAGCACATTTCTAAAAAGAGAATGAAACTAGTGGCAGTGGAAAACAACAATTGTTCTGCTTCGAAGTGAACAAACAACAGCAGTGGATAAAATGCTAATTCCCTTCATGAATAAAATGAAAAGTGCTAGCAAAAGAAATACTGTTGTATTGACATAAACAAATGGTATAAAAGCTAACATTGGGGAAAGGAGGAAGCCTTCCAGATGCAAAAATATGAACAATTTTTTTTTCATATAGGAAACTAAATCATTGGGCCTGTAAAATGCTGCTAAAACTAATTGAAAATCTTCACTGATGAGCATGTAACAACACTGTTTGGGGCACTACATATACATAACATACATAACCTACTGTTTGAATGTTTCCATTAGCACACAGTTATCATTCTTTGTAAAAAAAGGTCATTGGATTAATAGAGCTCTCTCTTTCCTTTTCTATTTTACAAATAATACAATGAATATGATATTCAAAAAGAGAAAACCACATCCAGGGCATGATTTTATTTATGGTGTATTTTTGCAGTATCGCAATACTATTTTATTACATTAACCATTCTCACAATTGTTGCAGGTAATCAGATTCCTAGGGCTTCTGTTGAATTTTTAAAAAATAAAAATGATCACATTAAACTAATAAGATCTTAGAGTGCTAAAACAGTCAGGATATTTCCTCTAACATTTTCAAATTGAAATGCATCACACTTGCATAGCTCTACTATTATTAGGAGCAGGAGAATATCAGCCTGATTTATCTTAGCAAATATCAAGTATGGATTTTTACATAATAAGTATTGACAAAGGTGTCTGGAAAAAAAAAATCTAACCTTTTTACACACATCCAGAACCATTATTTGCTTCCATTAGAGTAAACCACCACATCATGGTCTTTCTTTTCTCTCTGCTCTTTTTCCAGGCCATACTGGTAACCACACCAACACCCAAAAGCACTTTTGGGCTAGAGTCTAATGCCACAAAGCTTCCTACAGATAATTTATAATGTTCCAGAACAGCCAATGAGTTCCCCTATTCCCCCACCCTCAGCAGAGGCAAATCAAGGCTGTTACTCAAAGTTCCCTAGAGAGGGACTAAGCAATAAACTCTACAACCTGGCACATCAAGATAGATAAACTATTGTCATCATTACATCAGGAATTCATGGCCTAAACAGCTTTAGAAAGCCACGAAGAGACTTCTAGCATTATGCGATCACCCTGCGAATTAAGACTTACTGCCTCATGAGAGGTTTCAGAGCAACAGCCGTGTTAGTCTGTATTTGCAAAAAGAAAAGGAGTACTTGTGGCACCTTAGATGAAGTGAGCTGTAGCTCACGAAAGCTTATGCTCAAATAAATTGGTTAATCTCTAAGGTGCCACAAGTACTCCTTTTCTTTTTGCTTCATGAGATTTACCTTGTCAATATTTTTAAAATAAAAAGAGACCCAGAACCAGCAATAAAAATTGTTCTTTATTTATAATTCATCTCCCAAAAACACTGAAAAACTTAAGTTTCGGCCCTAGAGACTTATATGCCAAATTGTGATACAGCTGCCAATACAAATGTGATCAGATGGTTTTTCTCCTGTAACATTAGCAGTTCATGCACCACTACATCGTATTGTAGATATGAGTCTCAGAGGGGTTCTAACTGAAAATATAAAGAAACCACTGTAACAAGCCACACTATATATTTCCTAAAAAATAATACTTTGTAGCAGCTTACCTCAGGTGCCTTTTTTCTTCATCACAATACTTTGGCTCCTGGAACGCTGTATCTGCATTATTTTTAACATCTAACGGTATCATTTTAAACTACCCTAATACTGTTGATTATACATTCAGAGTTCATCCTTGTAAAGAATTTGCACAACAATTTACTAATGAAATTAAATATCAGAACATTAATTGTTCAGAGATTAATTTTTAAATGGCCATTTTTGTCTTCAAAGATGTGAAATGTATTAAAAAGTATTTTAGGAGAGAATAAATTCAATTAAAGAAACCACTTATTTTGCCATTCATTTTTTTCCCCCAAGTACCTCTTTGTTTATCACTAGAAGTTCCACATCGGATTTACATATAATGGAAGTAGATCGGTTTGTATTAGTCAGAAGACAAATTTCCTGCAAAACAAAAACAAGAAGCATAATTCTTCTTTCAGCTGTACAGTTTACTTTTATAATAAAACACTTAAGATTGCATAGAGGATTGTACAACTTTTAATTAAAGGTATAAAGATAAATTAATAATAGTACACTGGGTAAGCACCCAGTCCTACAAGGAACTAAGTTCTATCTACTTCCATTGACTGTAGTATATTGCTTTATCCTAACTGCCCCTTGCAATTAATATCAAACGCACTCTGCTCAAGGACACATTTTAAAAAGCTTGAAAATTCTAAAGTAAATGTTGGGAAAATAAAATTATTGCAGATAAAGAAATCAGAGGGCTTTCTAAATGTAAACTACCTTCTTTCTAAATGGGCATCTAATTTCAAAGGGCCAAATGCTGCCTTCTGTGGAAGATGCACACTTGTACTTTGGGGCAAAATCCAGCCTAATATTTTTAGGGTGCAAAACTAAAGAGAGTTACCACCATTTTGTATTGTATGAGGAACAAACACCTTTAAAATGAAAATAGATTTAATCACACAGGTTCATTTTCCTTTAATCCCGTTAGGCAGGAAGTATGAGACAAGAATTCTCTCATAGCACCATGTTGCATTGCTACTAGACAATCTATTGGGCCCATCAAATTAATTTTTTATTAACAAATGTCTAAGGGCCTGATTGACCCTTACTGAAGGAAGAGGCTAAAGAGAAGGAAGGTAATCTATATAAGATTTCTTCCAAACTTTCCTACAGGCTGTCACTGGAGACCAGAAACAGCATGTCTCCCTTCCCTCTGCCCCATAGAAACAAACAAAACATGAAAGCCTGGATCAATTAGAATGTACTGTGGTGTGCAGTCACAGAAAGATCATAGGACCTGGAGCCAAGTTCTCTCTTCTGCCCACCTCCTCGTCCATGCCCCACATCTGCTCCAACTTGCCCCTTTTTCCTGCACAGATCACAGGATTCATGGAACACTTCACCTTAGGAGGAATTTTTACCACATTATTTTTAATTTCGTAAATGTTATTAAAAACTTAACAAAAGAGACTAAGGTAATTAGGTATCCAGGTTCTACTGACTTTCCTTTTGTGTCTTTGGAAATATCCCCTTTAAACATTTTAAAGCATATTTTCATTCAAATAATATTAAAATTTTAAATGAAAATATTTACCCCTACGAAGTCTCCTTCTTCAGCTTCACATAATATTTCAGAGGTGAAAGTTTGGTCTTTGAAATTTGCATCACCCCCTATGACTTTTAGTTTTCCAGATAGTATTAAGTAACATTCACTTGGAACATGTCCTTGCCTTATAACTATGGTTCCAGCTTCACACCTAGAAAGAGAATTAAAATCCCAAAAGGTAAAAGTTATGTAATGTTGACAATAAACAATGACTACAATATGCAAAATGTAAACAGAAAGATACAGACATCAGAACGTATCCTAGTAGACTGGATGAAAATTATACCATAATTAACATGACACACTGAAAAAAGTATAACCGCTAATAACAGACTAACTTGATATTATGTCAGGAGGAGAACAAAGCTGTAGAACCACAGCTGGTACATACACTTAATCTGCACCTGCTATTACCATGACTGCATAAATATCATGAGTGTGCAAGTACTGAAATGCAAATTTGAGTGCACTTTTCCTGCAACTGCATTCCTAAGTGCATCAGTCATGCATGTAAATTAAACACAGAAATGGTATATACTTTTGCACATAAACTGTGCACACAGCATTCTAAAAGTCTAAGCCTTTGATGCCAACATACTTATCAGCAAGGATCCCTGCTAAACCTTAGAGGAATTCTATCAGAGTAGTTACAACACATGATTTAGCCTGTGTTGAGACCCATCCAATTTAAAGTTTTCCCCTTCAGAAATCTCACCATGTATTTATTTTGTAAAAAGGATCCTTCTAGTATTAGATATACAGCTTATTGGTACATTAATTTTAAATATTACATGTTTTCCATGATATGTGAAATGTAACATCAACCATTAATTAATGGTTGATTTGTTTAAGTTTCAGGATACAATAAGGCTCAATCTGCAAAACAGAGAGTGGAATTCCTAAAAGATGACACAGTTACAACATAAGGTGGTGTTCTTGCACACCCATGGTAGTTACCTGTCACTATAAAATGCTTAAATCTCTGTGCATGAAAAGTGCTATTTAAGTGCCAAGTACCAAACAGTAATGACTATAATATATTACATACATGAAGGAAATCAGAAGGTCCTTCTCCTGAACCACAGAATCCACTAAATAATTATCAGGACAGCTACTCTTTACCGTCAACTACCTAACTTTTCAGACTACTATCACCAAAGCTCAGACTCTAATGCAGTGGTTCCCAACCTATTTACCATTGTGGGCCGCTTCCAATACTACCTGTATGGCCCCAAGAATGTCACATGGGCTGCAGCTATGTGCTGATTGGGCTGCAGGTGGAGAATCACTGCCTAATGTATTCAGCTGTGAAGAGCTTCCATCCTAGTTCACTGGACAAAAACATAACTAAACCCAGAATCTGAGCTGATGTCACCAATAACAAAATAACAGTGGAACAAAGCTACTCGCCAGCCTACTTTGTCAAAACATCTGCTTCACTAACAGAGACCTGAAAGCAGTCAGGGAGTCAGGAAAACTGAATTCTATTCCCAGCTGTAGCAGACTTTTTCTATGTGAAATGAGGTGAATCACTTCACCTGTTTTTGCCCTAATTTTCTCATCTGTCCAATGGAGACATTAGTTACCCACTACATAGACTTGTGGTGAGGCTAAATGCATGATGCTAAGGCAACTTTACACCATCCCCACCATGTAAAGTGGCCTTAAAGTGGGTGTACTGTTTAAGGCCCATTTACATTGGCACAGCAGCATAAAATAGCCTTAGTGAAATGAGAATAAGGCCCATTAATGTTAATAAGGCACTTTGGGATGTTAGGTTGGAAAGTGCTATATAAGCACAATATATCACTTATTATGATGCAATGGTAGGTATGCCATAGGTAAGGCTGCCTTACAAAGCTCAATTTTAACAGAAGCTTTACATTATTTTGTAAAAATCTCATTGAAATGGCAAAAAAAAAAACACATAGAATATAAACTGAGTTCTATCTGGATTTTTTCATGGTGGTTTGATGAAAAATGAATTGACACAGAACAAATAAGAGCAGTTCCAAATCACCTCTTCTGGTGATTTTTTTGGTCATTGATTGTCTCACTTTCTTTGTACCCCCTTTGCACTTTAAGACACTCTGGGTCTTGTCCTTTGGCATCATTGTGGCTTCTTGTGTGCTGAATCATGGAGTATGTTATACATGGGTAGTGTTTATCTATAGAGTGTTATATACCTTTTTAGTCATAATGGAAAATATGTGCACTGAGGCAAACCCACCAATATTTAATTTGACAACAAATCTGCTGCAGGCAAATGAGAGAGAAAGACACACCCCAAATACACTTGAAGCCTAAGGAAAAGTTTCTTGAGCTGGCAAAGAGGAGACCAGGTGTTCAAAACCCACCTCTTCTAAGTGTTGTTTAAATTCCCATGCATTTTACTACCCTGATTATTGATTACAATCCCAAACCTCAGTCTAAAAGACAGTTAAGGAAGAGCTAAACACTCGCCCACATTTTTAAAATAAATTAGCAAAGAGTTTATACAAGATCACTATAGGCCCAAAACTCTAACATGAGAAACCACAATCTTATCCAGTACATGACACTGCATTTTAAAGGGAGTAAATCCAACTATCCTATCTCTAACCACTGTAAACCCACACTCCCTTCCAAGAGCTAGGTATAGAATCCAAGATTCCTAATAAACTAATATTTTACTTCTGACAAGTAAATAATTAAGAAAACATGTTTCAAGACCTCTCCAGGGGTTCATCTAGAGTTATGCCTACAGCTCAAATAGTAAGAGCCTACATTAGGGGTCTGAAGATCAAGAGATTCAGATCAGCAATAGGATTTATGTGGGGTGAGGGAATGTTTATGAGAGTTTCACAAATTGAAAAAAAACACTTTGAAACAGATTTTGCACTTTAACTATGATATCTTAAATTATGGCGTTAATCACCAGAACACACATTTCACATTTCAGTCATTTGCTAAACATTTTACTTTTGGAACCCACTAGTCAGTGTGTGTATATGTCCCGCTATGCCCAATTCATAATGGATGTAAATCTGTGACAGCTCTCTACTTGTGAGCCTCAGTCCTTAGCACACTATAAAAATTTATGCTTTTAGCTCTGGGGTTTATCATTTCAATCCCTGATGTTGGCCAAGATGTCAGCTATCAGATCTGCAGGTGTCCCTTGTTGGTATATTTAAAGGTTGAAAGTAGGACTGTTGATTAATCACAATTAACTCACGCGATTAACTCAAAAAAATTAATCGCAATTTAAAAAACTTATTGTGATTAATCGCACTATTAAACAATAGAATACCAATTGAAATTTATTAAATATTTTTGAATGTTTTTCTACATTTTCAAATATATTGATTTCAATTATAACACAGAATACAACTTGACAGTGCTCACTTTATATTACTTTTGATTACAAGTATTTGCATGGTAAAAATGATAAAAGGAACAGTATTTTTCGATTCACCTCATATAAGTACTCTAGTGCAATCTCTTTATTATGAAAGTGCAACTTACAAATATAGGGTTTTTTTGGTTACATAACTGCACTCAAAAACAAAACATAAAACTTTAGAGCCTACAAGTCCACTCAGTCCTACTTCTTGTTCAGCTGATTGCTACGAGAAACAAGTTTGTTTACATTTACTGGAGATAATGCTGCCCACTTCTTAATTACAATGTCACCTGAAAGTGAGAACAGGGGTTCGCATGGCACCGCTGTAGCTGGCATCGCAAGATATTTACATGCCAGATGCGCTAAGGATTTATATGCCTTTTCATGCTTTGGCCATCGTTCCAGAGGTCATGTTTCTATGCTGATAATGCTCGTTAAACAAATAATGTGTTAATTAAATTTGTGAAGCTTCAGAGGGGTAGCCGTGTTAGTCTGGATTTGTAAAAGCGGCAAAGAGTCCTGCGGCACCTTATAGACTAACAGACATATTGGAGCATTAGCTTTCATGGGTGAATACCCACTTCGTCGAATGCATGTGACAACGAAAGCTCATGCTCCAATATGTCTGTTAGTCTATAAGGTGCCACAGGACTCTTTGCTGCACTTAAATTTGTGACTCCTTGGGGGAGAATTGTATGTCTCCTGTTCTGTTTTACCTGCATTCTGCCATATATTTCATGTTATAGCAGTCTCGGATGATGACCCAACACATGTTGTTCATTTTAAGAACACTTTCACTGCAGATTTGACAAAACTCAAAGAAGGCACCAATGTGAGATTTCTAAGGATAAATACAGCAGTTGACCCAAGGTTTAAGAATCTGAAGTGGTATTCTATTATTGTTTAATAGTGTGATTAATTATGATTTTTTTCATCACGCGATTAATCGCAATTAATTTTTTTAATCACTTGAGAGCCCCAAAATAAATGCTATTCTATTATTGTTTAACATCATGATTAATTTTTTTAATCACGCAATTAATCGTGATTACTTTTTTTAATTGCTTGACAGCCCTAGTTGAAAGGTTTGCTTCATAGTGGCAGGAAAGAGGGAGAGCAATAGGCAGATCTACTGGTGTAACATGTTGTTGCTACAGGCTATAGCAAAGCTATTTCTATGCCAACTTTATTAAATTTGGATCTGTAATGCAAAACCTCAACCCTCTTTTATATTGATTTTATCAACAGGAGTGCATCTGGATGTCACACATTCCATGCAAGTGGGAAGTTATTGAGCTTTATCACTGCTGAGATCACTGTTAAGGCTCTGAGGTAGAGTGCAAATTTGATGAAGCTGTTGTGTATCTGTTGGAGATGGAAGTAAAAGCCTTATGGAGTGCTGGAAATGTGTTAATCAACAGAGTTGTAGGCCACAGGAAGGTGGAAAGAAATGCACAAGTCACAATGCTTAGCTTATTTCCACTTTTTTAAGATTGTGGGTGGGTGGGGTATGCTCTGCCACAGCCTTAACTGTCACTAAATGTAGAGGTTGTTTGCTAATTATGCATATTCCTTTTGAACAAAACATCATGCTCCCACAACGTTTCTGATACAGGACAGCATGTAAGAAGACCATATTTATAATCTGAAAATGTACTTGCTGAAGTTGCATGGGTAGAGGGATTTGTTCTCAAATTTTAATGCTGCTCAAACAAAAGAGTAGATTTCATAGCCAGGATTAATATTGTCTCGGGGGTGGGGCAAGCATAAAAGAGGTTTTAAGATATCTCTGAGTCCATGTTTCACTGTTCCATGGTATATTTCACACCAAAAGGTCCAGTTTCTGCACTGCAAGAACTTGCCTTTCCCAAAAGCCAGCTATATCCACACATCAGTGTGATGTCGAGTTCATTACAGGATACAAGAGGGCCAAGACATTGAAAGGTAAGGTGGTTTTCTGGGGGGTCAGGCAGGTGGGAGCCAGGACTTACTGCAGGAAGTGGTTAAATTGCTTGGATCCTGGAGAGATCTTTTAATTTAAATAGTTATGTCTTTATTTTTGTATTTTCTTGGGAGAAGCCTTTTGTATTAGCACACTGATGATCTTGCATTCCAACTGGATTTTTAAATCTCAGGTATGGAAGCTTTCCATTTCAGGACTGCGGTCCAAATCACCAAATACCAGAGAAGTATTATATAGCTCTGGGTGACGGGGTGCACTCACCTTGCGCTGGACGGGGAAGGGTTAACCCTACATTGTGGGTTGAGGAAGACATGCCCACGTTACTCTACTGGGAATGCTCCAGGTGCACTGGTATAAAAGGGAGCAGTTCACCTCAGTTGGGGTGGACTGCTGTGGAAGAAGGATGCATGCCAGCCACTCCAACCAGGGCCCAGAGGAAGCCCGGGACTGTAGGAGCTGGGGATGCCGCAGCCCAGGCAGACTCCAAGGCAACCCCAAAGGCCACGCTGGGTATGGAGATGCCGGAGAAAGGGCAGACCGGAGAACCTAAAGGTAACAGGGATGCCCAGACCACAGCAGCAGGGACGACGGCAGGAAGCAGCCCAGGGGAATCAGACAGCGGACAGGTGAGTGAGCCAAAGCCTTGAGTCAGTGTGTTTTTGTCGGAGCCTTTCCCCGCTGACTCAGTGGCCCACGCTATAGCCACTAACAGGGCCTTGGGCTGGGGTCCGGTGGAGAGGGAGGGCATGGACCCCTCTGCTGAGGGTGCAACCCCTCCCCCTGTGCCCGCTAGACCTTACTGCTCCACTCACAATGGCGAATTTATTGACCCTGGCCGCTAGGCCTTATTGTTCTGCAAAAAGGGATGAAGTTATTGACTTGGGCCACTAGGCGCCTTACTGCCCTGCAAAAAGGGGCGGATTGACTGACATTAGCCACTAGGCCTTACTGCCCAGTTGACAATGGTGAATTTATGTACTCTGGCCACTAGGCTGCACCACCCTGCTGATAAGGATGAGTGTCTGGACTCGGGTTGGGAGGGACATAGAAGTAAGGTACATATGCCCCCCCCCCCCAACATTCCCTAAGAGAAGCGGGCACACTCGCCCTGCACAGGACGGGGTTTCCCCCAGCCCTGTCACACTCTGCTTGTCAATATTTTATTTTAATGGGGTGAGTGTTTCTGAAGTATGATTAATATTTAATTCAAAGAGTTACAGTTTTGTTGAAAAATGTATATGTTCTGACCTCGGTTTCTGAAGGAAACAGTAGCATTCTTGTCTCTTACTTACTCTTGGTAGATGACAGCATGGCAAAGTTGGAGCTGTGTTTTATGAGGTAAACACTGAAATGTTCTGTTCTTCTTCAGACACGTTTGTATCTTGGGAAAAAAAAGACAGCACACTTCAATTTAATAACAGGCTCAGATAACACACCAGAGAAATTGTAAACTACACTGTGGTCAAGTTGAGCCCCTGCGTGTGTGCCCAGGCAGAGGAAGAGGGTGGAAGAATCTTCCATTTCCTTGGCCCTCATGTAGGACCCAGGCACAACAGCAGTGCTTGAGCTCGGCAAGACTAGTATGCTGTTGGCTTCCATGGCCCTGCCCCATTTTCCACACCTGCCAGTATATAGGAGAGTGGATGATTTTCTCTCCTTACGGGTTGTAGGGTAGCCATGCTTTCCTTGCCCTCAAAACAGCACCAAGAAGCACTGGGCCTACTTCAGGTACTATGCCTCCCAAGGCTTCCACTAGAATGGCTGGCCTCCATCCCAGCTCCAGTTCAGGGTTTTGAGAGCCAAATTCTATACTCATTGGGGGCTCCAAGCACCATTACACTCAGTGGGAGACAGGAGCTGTGTGCATATATATTCAGGACCAAATTTGTGACTGAGAGGATACTGCTAACAAAGTCTTCTCAACCCCTTTAAAGTAGGGATCTTGTTCATAAGGAACAAAGGAAAATAGTACTTTTTTTTTTTGCATCATGCTTCTTCCAAATGCATTGGGCTATCTCTATGTAAGCAGAGACAGGGTGGGATCCACCCTGACATCTGGTGGTGAGGTGTGGCAAGTTGTGGAAAAGAACTTCAGGGGCTGATCTTATTTGCATAGGCACATCCACCCCGCCTAGCAATAGGCCATAACTGCCCAAATGGTCACTTTGGCTGCTGTGGGATCCCCAGTGTCTCTGTTATTGGGGCGGGAAGAATAAATTGTTAGTACCCTGATTATGGGAACTGTGCTTGGAACTGTACTTGGCCTTTTTGTTATGATGGAGGACTCACCATCAACTAAGTAGCACTCACTAGGCAAGGGACATGGGTTCCAAAACTCTGTGAATAGAGAGAGACTTGAGACAGGTATTAGTGCCTGGTGGTGTAGGCCCCTTTGTGAGGGCCTGAAGCACCTATTGCACCTCTGTCTCTCTCCACTGTGGAATGTCAGAGCTAATTTTGGGTCTATTAAGAGTTTTGTTACAGGTACTGTGCTGAATTCACTTCAGCCTTATGGTGCACCAGCACTAAGGCTCCCACTACTATGAGCTGAAATCACTGAGAGCTGAAATCACTGAGCACTGTGTCAAGTAGTGGGGAGCCGGAAGATCTGGTGTGCAGCGGAGCTATTTGTGAGACGGTGGGGTGAGCAGAGCTGTTTGTGAGACAGCGGCGTGTTCGTGAGACGGCGAGCTGAGCGGAGCCGGGCGTGAGACAGCGGCGTGTTCGTGAGACGGCGAGCTGAGCGGAGCCGGGCGTGAGACAGCGGCGTGTTCGTGAGACGGCGACCTGAGCGGAGCCGGTCGTGAGACAGCGGCGTGTTCGTGAGACGGCGAGCTGAGCGGAGCCGGCCGTGAGACGGCGAGCTGTGCAGAGCGGAGCTGGTCGTGGTGGAGCGGAGCAGAGCCCTGTAAGGCAGTCAGCTTCAGGACACGTAAGGTGCCCCTTACCTCTTTCCCCCCCACACCCAGGCACATTTTAGCCAGACTGGGGAGTAACACTCTGCAGATGAACTTTTGAACTCCGGGGCTGGACTTTTTTTGGACTTTGGGTGATTTGTGGATTGCTGGACTCAAGAGACGTTTGGGTTCTGGGACTCAAGAGCCTGAGGGAAAGGATGTGGCCCAATTTTTCTGGGGTGGGTCGGCATTCATGGTTTGGTTAATGAACACTAGTCGTGGTGTTTCCCCAATTTAATGCTGATGTTGTTTGCCTCATGTTATTAAAGATTCTCTACTACACCAAGACTCTGTGCTTGCGAGAGGGGAAGTATTGCCTCCTTGAGGCGCCCAGGGGGTGTGTAAGATTTTCCCAGGTCACTGGGTGGGGGCTCGAGCCAGTTTTGCATTTGCTTTAGTGAGAGGGAACCCCGGTGTACTGAACCCGGCCCTTGCTGCTATCAACTTGGCCTGGCAGAAGGGTTACATTTTTGGGGGCTCGTCCGGGATCGAGACTGGGTCAGTACCCCTCGCAAGCACATCTTAGGTGAGTCATTAAATTGGGAAAACCCAGAATCTGGTTGTTGTTGTTTTGATCTGTTATATTTGGGAAAGAAATTACAGTTTGTATAATGGCCCTACATTTGCTAGAGGATTGGTGCAGGGGGATGAATATTAACCCTAGGAACTGTGTCCTGGTGACCGGGGTGCCGGAGGCATTCGATGAAGGCTCAATAGAGCCTACCTTAAGGGCATCCACTGGGTACCTGAGTAAATGTAAAATGCGTGGGCGCATATTTGTGAGGGAGGACGGAGATTTTGCTGTACTGTGTGAGCTGCCGTCGGCTGTGGACCCACTACAGGTTCCAGGCACGATAGCAGTGGAAGATGGTGAGTGGAAGGTAATAACTACTGGGAGCCAGCCCTCACCGGCTCCTGCATCTGAAGTGGAGTTTTTAAAGAAAATGTCAGCCTTTTTGGGGAAAGAGGGGAAGACCTTGGCTGATATGCCGGGTCTGTTGGGCCTTGACCCAGGAGTCCCAACCCGGGAGGCTGCTCCATCACCTGATGAGTGGGTGAAGGCTTTGGGGCAAGCATTAGAGAAGGTTGTGCCACCCCACCCTGAGTCAAGCCCCTATCGTAAACTGAGGCTGTTTTCTGGGGGTCCCACCCCAATACCCGGGGAGGAAGCATTTGAACCCTGGCTGGAACACACCACTGAAATGCTGCAGGAGTGGGCAGTACCTGATGCTGAAAAGAGAAGGCGACTAGTAGAGTGCCTCAGGGGACCAGCCCTAGATGTGATTCGCACCCTGAAGCTCAGTAACCCTGGGGTCAAGGTAAAGGACTGCCTAGAGGCCCTTGATCATGCCTTTGGGAGAACCGAGGGCTCAGAGGATGTTTATTGCAAGTTCCTCAATGCCAGGCAACAAAAGGAAGAGAAAGTTTCTGCCTACATACAGAGGTTGGAGAAATTATTACAGAGAGCCATCATGAGGGGAGCAGTAGCGGTTGAGCAAATGGACCGGACTAGATTGGCTCAGATTGTGAGGGGAATTCAATATCAGAACCCAATCCTTCTCCACCTTCGATTAAGGGAGCGCCAAGACAATCCACCGGGTTACTCTCGACTGATAAAAGAGGTCCGAGAGGAGGAAGAGAGGCAGGCAGCTGGTGAGGTTTGGGAGGTTCAGCCACCCCAGGCAACTGCCACAACATCCATACGAGCGCCCAAGGCGCTGATGGTGAATCCTCAAGAGGAACTTACCCAACGAGTTCAGGTTCTGACACAGAAAGTGGCTGAACTAGAGAATACTATCGATTCAGCAAAGACTTCAGCGTACAAGGAACCCCCTGTTACCACGGTCCAGAAGACTACATTTAGAACCTCTGCCCCACCCCGGCAACACGGGAAAGGGCAATCCTTCTTCTGCTACCGGTGTGGCCAGGATGGGCACATTGCTGCCAGGTGTCAGAATGCAGAGAATCCCCCGCTAGTATACCAAAAGCTGAGGACCACCTGGGGAAAGTCGGGAAACGGCCCCAGGGCCTGGGAAGGGAGCCGCCTAGGCCTGCAGGGTTTGGAGGCTCCTCTGCGAAGAACCATGCCACCCGAATCCCACCAGGATTGATAGGACCTCGAGCTGAGGTCACTGTAAAGGTTGAAGGGACAGAATGTAGAGCAGTGCTTGACACGGGATCCCAAGTGACTATCATATTCCAGTCTTTCTACCAGCAGATGCTTATGCATCTGCCTATACAGCCCTTGACAGGGCTTGGCCTGTGTGGTCTCAGCATGGATGAATACCCGTATCAGGGGTATGTCATTGTACACCTGGAATTCCCAGAAGAGATCGCTGGGGTAAGACAGGAGGTGGACACTGCAGCTTTAATATGCCCTGACCCTAAAGGTGTCTCTGATGTGTCCGTGCTGATAGGGACCAACTCCAGCCTCTTTAAGGTACTTGCAGATTACTGCAGACAGCGAGCAGGGGACCAATACCTGAATACCTTAGTGATACACACACATTGTGCCGCAGCCTACAGAAAAATTGAGGACGCAAAAAGAGTGATGCCTGATTTGCCGGTGGGAGCACTGAGGTACGCAGGCCCGGTCCCCTTAGTGGTGCCTGCAATGACAGAAAAGGAGGTGATTGTCATGAGTACCTGCCTGAAAGGAAATAAGAGAACATTAGCAGTGGTAGAGCAGCCGACTGAGGGAGGGCTCCCTGAAGGAGTGCTGGTTCTTAGTGGAGTCATAACCCTACCTGCTGAAGCCCAGGAAGAGGTGACTATACTGATTGCTAATGGAACAAGTCGTGATATTTTTGTGAGGCGAGGACAAAAAATAGCAGACCTCTTTGAGCCCGAGTCAATTGTAACCCCCCAGTGTGAAACGCAAGTTCCGACGATAGACCCAGCAAAGTTTGACTTTGGAGATTCACCTGTGTCCGAGGAGTGGAAAGATCGCCTGAGGAAGAAACTTTGTGAAAGATCCAAGGTGTTCTCACTGCATGAGTGGGATGTGGGATGTGCAAAAGGAGTAGAACACAATATCAGACTACATGACTCTCGACCTTTTAGGGAGAGATCTAGGAAGATTGCTCTCTCTGAGATGGAAGACGTGCGACATCATCTTCAGGAGCTGGCTGCGAATGGCATCATTACAGAGTCCCGCAGCCCATACGCCTCGCCCATTGTGGTAGTCCGTAAAAAGAATGGGAAAATCCGGATGTGTATTGACTACCGCACCCTAAACAGCCGTACTGTGGTCGACCAGTACACTATGCCTCGAGTGCAAGATGCCTTAGACTGTTTGCTGGGAAGCCAGTGGTTCTCTGTGTTGGATCTTCGAAGTGGGTACTACCAGATCCCTCTGGGAGAAGAAGATAAGGAGAAGACCGCCTTCATCTGCCCATTAGGGTTTTATCAGTTCGAACGCATG